AAAACCTTCCAAAGTTGTACTGAACAACTAACACAACAGTGCTAAGCATGTTGCTGATAAGAACAAATGATGTTTTGAAGTCATGAAATTTTCGATGATCCACAGGTCGAAATTTGAGGCTTACCGAAAAATTCGACTTTTCAAAAACTCATTTGTTTTTATCAGCAACATGCTTAGCACTGTTGTGTTAGATGTTCAGTACAGCTTTGGAAAGTTTTCGTTAACTTCGGAGAAAGAAAAATGACTTTAGAGAATAGCGCCGGGGATCATCAGGGATCATACAAAAGCTGGAAAATGCGGTTCGTACAGCTTCTCGCTCCTCTTCAACATGTTCATAGTGAAGGGTAGTAGGAATACTTACGGATAGGTACACAACGTGAAATCCAGGTATCTGGAGTTTCGAAATATAAAGCTTTCTTTTAAGCTGCGATCCCCTCCCCGCGGGGAGGTTAGTGCATGCGGCCCTAAGTGTTGCGCCCTACCTCACTACCATAAACACGCTTCAGACGGTATATGCTCTAATATTATATTGTAGCCCTTAGTCTCTACTTTCACGCTGACAACGTCACCAGACCCAACCTCGACATGAATGGCACTGAACTAGCAAAAATCATGTTTTGAAAATCTCTTTTGAAATACTCTCTTCTTTAGATCAGTTCTTTTCACGCAGTTTTTTCGTCCATTCGATGGATCTTCCTTCGTCTATAATGTAGACAATGTCGTCGAGTTTACTTCCCCAATAGTGGCAGCATTTTTTGTGAGTACTCGTAAAAAGTGCGTTGTTCTTCATAGCTTTAGTGAGTACGCAACCATTTTCTTCATGCTTAGGGTTTTCTGGTTCAGAGTGTTGGCAGATAACGCAGACAACGTTGCCGGAAACATCTCAGGGAATCGCCGAGGTAGGGGGCACCAAAAAAATAGCGGAATGGTTTCGTGTACTCTGCTCGAAAAACTTTACTGAACCAGCTTTGGGCTTTGGCGAGGCCGCTTGTTGATTTTTTTTTGACGAAAAAGCAGCAGTTTATCTGTAAAAAAAACTAAAAATCAGAGCGAGAAAGGAAACAATAAGCGGCAATGAGAAAGCGCGTTGTAAAATTTTTAAAATACTAGAAAAGAGCACGTAAAGCGCGTAGTGACATGACGGTTGAGAATTAAGAACAATCAGAAACAGATTGCACTGACGTGCCTTCAAATTTTGGAAAAACGAAACATTTATCCTAAAACTAGTTTGTTTGTTTTTTCATACTTTCCCGGGCAGTCGCCATATTCAAATTTGATTGTTTTTGAGAAAATAGCAAAAAACAGCTTCTCATCGCTTTTCCCCGTTATGAAGCGGCGGTACTGAAACAAAAACCTGCGATTTGATATACCCCAGAAGAAAGATTTCAAGACTCAGTGCAGCGTTTTTACTCCGTTCCCTCACAGTTTCTTATTTTTTCTTGTTTTCCTATTTCGTTTACTTCTCATTCTTTTCTCTGCTTCTAGACAACCTTTACATTAAATAAAGAGCAAGGTAAACAACTTCTTTTTTGAGTCTATTCTCTAGATTATCGAAAGTATAATTTGAGATGGTTGCAATTAGCGCAAACAAACTTTTTAGGTGTTCTCATCCAAGTAAATACTCCTCAAAACAGGAGATTTGGATTTTCGTTCAACAGTAAATTCCAAGTTCTCTCTACTTTAAATCTGGAAATTTTATGTCGTAATTTGATGTAACAGATTTCTTCCAGACCTACAGTACGATGAGTTTTTATAGATTTTCGACAAGGTGTCTTCTTTAGAGTTCTGAAAGATAATTGTAGTTTTGACCTATGATATTAAGCCGCCAACCGTCATCTGCACTTACCAGGTCTAGCCAGTCTTACGCACAATGTACAGAGGGAAGAGGCACACTGGCAGAAAAAACCAACTGTTGATCCAACGTGATGAAGATGTGAGTAGTCCGTAGGAAGTCGGACGATAGCAGCGGAGATGTTGAGGACGGACAACACTGAGCATTCGGTGTGTTACATTTACACATGACAAGCTGTTGTTCACATAATGCTAGAAAGGGCAGAAGATCACTAGTCATCGATAGGCGCTCGTTATTGTTGTTCCCACAAAGTTTCCAGTATCTTTCGTGCAGAGATTTCCATCTTGTGCACTAAGATAAAACGACTGAACTAGACTCAGCTCCGCCATGTGCTTCAATTCTATGTATACTTAACTGTGATACAATTTCGATACCTTTTTTGCTATGTGCTCTTTGACCTTATGTTCAATGCTTTGCCCTATACAGAAAGTCTTGTGACAGCATCATCTATCAGATTTTTAAAGAAGAAGACCTTCTCGAAACGATGGTTCAATAAAGGTTCACCGTACTGATCTGAGCTTGGCAGAACATTTGTTACATCATTCACACAATTTATTCATTCTGGGAAGCAAAGTGATTTTCATCAATCTGAGTATGGCATGAACTGAGCGAGATTATCTAGTGATTATACTCTCTCAAATACAATGACCTCAGAGTCGCTACAGGACAGCTTCGCTCTACTCTTGATTTTTGCTAGCATTCATGATTGCGTTTTGGTAATGAATCATGGGATTATTGTAAACGTTCCATCTTATTGTAAGCGTTCCATCTACACGCTTACCCATCCGTTCACTACCCATAAGTCTGCCGTTTTCTTTGGTTCCCATCGAAGACGTTTTGCTTGTAATGGATCCAAATCCGATGTTATTAGCATCTCGCCTGCGTTCATCGCTTCTTCAACCTGACATCCTTGTTTAGATTCAACATTCATTCTAAGTTACGAAGTATAACGACCTGAACTGCAAAATCAGACAAGTCGTCTGTTCAACTGTTCTTCGGTAGGCTCGCTTTTGCGTTTGAACAGCTGACATAGCAATACCAATATACTCTTATTGCGTGATAGGTGCAGCCTGCCCACTGGAGTGACACACTACACTCAAAAAGTAAGGTAACTGAAGTGCAAACATCTGCGCGATTGGTCTATCTTTCCTTGCCCCGCTATGTAAAGGGCTAGGGCTATGTAAAGTATCGTTCATTCGTTGACCGTACGGACTGCCTACCGCGTGGCGACTGCGACGCGTGCCTTCTAAACTTGCGAAAAAGTGACAAGTTGGACCGTGGCTTAAGATGAGAAGAATTCTTTGTTTCTTTTCTACATTATAAAGATGAGAAGAATCCTCTGTTTTCTTTCTATTCATCTTTTCTACGAAAACATCATGCACGCGCAGCGGTCGCCGCGCGGTCAGCAGTCGTTACGGTCAACGAATAAACGATATAGTGCATGCGCTCCACCCACAGAGCAACCTGAAGCAGCTTCCGAGCTGCTTCTTCCACAAAATTGTCTCTAAGTTTCTCCTTCCCCTTATCTTAATCACGCCATTCTTTTAATCAAACTATTATAATTCTATTTATTCGTATACGTCCGCATCCTTCGTTATGGCTTGTGCATAGTCACTTCGTAATGATGTTTGTATTCATTCTAAGATAGATGTTTCCATTCAAGATAGAGATAGTCAAGCAGGAGCAAGGCTCCGATTTGTCTAACATGGCTACTGCCGTACCCATAAGGCTATCGGAGCCTTGCTCCTGCTTGACTACCTCTATCTTGAACTTATCACTCACCTCATTCCTTGCTTAAAGGCAGTGTCCAAGCAAAAAGTCGTTTTTGAGGTTTTGTGCTTACCCGGGCCTATTTGCCATGCTGAATCCGATGAACCACAATGGAGTGCGCGAAAACGCTAAAAAAGGCCCTAACGACGGAGAGAAATCGCAGGTGGGCGGGGCCGTTCACACCGCGACGTCACTCTCCCAGGCTTTAGGAGCGATCTTCCCGGTTCCGACTTTATGTCATGCACTTCGCAGTTGGATGGTGGTGATGTTAGTGCGATTAGCGGAAGCGAGAAGGTCGCTCCTGAAGCCGGGAGAGTGACGCTACTATGTGAACAGCCCCGCCCACCTGCGATTTCCCTCCTCCGTTAGAGCCCTTTTTCGCCGTTTTCGCGCTCTCCAGTGTTGATTTTCGGATTTAGCATGGCGAATAGGCCCAGGTAAGCACAAAATCTCGAAATCTTTTTGCTTGGACACTGCCTTTTACGATATCCAGCTTCGGAATCACTCATAGCTGAAACATAAAACCATAACTTCGTTACGTATGTCGGCGACTTTCTTTCAAAAGTAAAGGGAACGCCTGTCCGTTCTCCTAGACATTTTATCTTCGGGTTTATTGAATAACCTAGACGGAAGAAAAGGCTCCATAATTTTGAGGGAAGTTAAGATCATTTATTATCTACGCTCAGTTCTTCGTAAGCTATCTCCCGTCATGATAATGCACCACTCTACTCTGCGGGTTGCATTTCTTCAACATTGTTCTTACTTCTGCGGTGCCGCTCGAGAAAGAAGCTATGACTTTGTGAGACGAGTATCGCTTACCCTACCCTCACAAAAATTCATGAGCAAACGCAGAAATTGCAATGACGAATCACGCAAGATATGAACGACTATAAACGACGCTTATTTTACGCCCACGTGACCCCAGCGCATCATACCCATTTTTCAACAAAAATTACAGTGCAGTAATTTTTTGCGAGTAGTTGGGAAGTAATCCAGATCTTTTCCAGATGCTTACTTATCTCACATATTTGAGCGATACGTAAGAATCTCAGCCCCAATGCAACGAAAAATTTCAAAGAAGGTTAGAAGCTGGTTAATCATACTGCTCGCAAATCGCTTTCAAAATCTAGTTTACGCTACGAAAGAAAACAAATTCCACCTTCATCCTTCGGCGGATGATTTTCTTTGGGACTTAGGATTTGTCAAGTGGGTTGGGGACCGAGTTTTGTATGAGCCAGACCGATGTGTATCATTTCGCTTTCACTAAACAGACTTGCTTTGTGAAGCTTTTTTATCCAAGCTTTCCGCTTTTCGCGAGTTATACTGCTTCGATTTCTCGCATAAGAAATGAATAAAATTATCGAAATGCTGTGTTATAGGCAATTTGCAGAAAAATGCAGAATGATTACTGTCCACCGGCCAAAAGATCTAAGAAGGAGTCCGCTGCCTTGAGTAAGAAAATGATTCGGACCAGCTTTTCGTCATTATAATGCATTCTAACGTCTTCAAAGTTACAGGTGTTGCCTCTCCATCTCCAGCAGGATCCGCGGATAAAACAGTTAGCAAGAGTGGCGACTACAAGAACTCCAGCAGCAGCATTCTAGGCAGAACCCAACAATCTAAAGTGAGTGACTTCATCTTAGCATAATCGGAATACCTTCGGGAGCACTCCCACCGCCAACGTTCTCCAGGAGAGTTAATGAGTAGATGCTGCAGGACCGAAAAAAACCCTTTGTTTAGAAATTAACGAAGTAGATAATTTGAAACTGAAGCCAATGATTTTGCGGTGTCCGTAGAGTTCACCGGAGAAGTAGCCCCTACTCGTTTTTCTTAGCCGCTAAATTTTTTTGAGTTGATACAGTAAATGTTCATAGTTTAGTATTGTTTTTGTAAAAAATGTCAATTAGGAACCGCATAGTGGCTGTAAAAAATGTGGTTATAAGGCAAAAAAATCAAGGTTCACAGATCCGAGAGAGACATAGTGTGTGCCCCAGTCAGCTTCCCATAGGTAGCTTCGTGACGCTCCCGCAGCCATGCCTTTAGTGCATATTTTGTTTCGACTCATCGGGATTTTATTGCTTTGCTCTCTCCAGTGACTCTGTTCTATTTCGTAATCACTCATTCTAGATATAAACGACTCACGACCGCAGATGATGAGTTTTTACGGATATTGACAGAATTTATTTCAATTTTACTTTATTCAATAACGCTCTTGGCGTTCTTACAGAGGAACGAAAACGCACAGTTATTCATGTCACCACGAAAGTTCGTCATGTAATTTGATCCAACCTTTCGGACTGGATTATGAAAGGCGTGATGGAGGCTCGCATGTGACTGCTTGAATTGAGCTTTTGTTTCGAAAATTCCCCCTTTTTTTGTAGCGAAGATTTGCGTATGGTTCAGGGAAAATCTTTCTAAAAGTTTAGAACACCGAATAAGCCCGGCTATCCGGCTAATTTTGCAGAGTATAGACGTTTCTAGGTCATTAGGTTTTCTAGGTCACGCGCCATTAGCGCTTTGCTTTCAAAATTGTGCTCTCGACTTAAACTTTTAGGTTCTTTTAACCACAAAAGGAAAACGTATCAAAGGTCCCTAAGTTTTTCCGTTACTCTAACCATCACTGGTAGTGTCATACTAGCATCCATTAGATGGCTGGAATCTGAGCGCTTGTGAAACTTGTGAACGTTCTGTTATCGCTTAGGGCTTTTCTCGAGTTGAAACTGGAGGCTTCCACTTCTCATTTCACTCCTATTTTTACGTAGAAACGCTTCTTTGTTTGCGAGTGAGTGCGTATGCTTCGCAATGGTTCCTTTGGGAAGCTTCTTACAGCTGAGGCACACACTATAACTTCAGTGGCGGTTCCAGGAGTGCATGGCGTTGCCACGCGCTCCGAAAATTTTCTTGAGATGCTTTCCGAAATGTTTGCTGGGAGCCCCCAAATGAAATTTGTTTTGAGGTTAAATGAATTTTGAATTCAGCCATACCCAGCTATCTCAAAACTAAATTCTATTAATACCCATCGTTTTCATAAAATTCTTGTTTTAGGATGGCAAACGAAGAAGCTTTATCTTACCTGTTGAGGCAAAAGAATTATGTAAGTTTGGCTTTTTCGAACGCTGCGATTTCAACTTTAATACAATAGTTGTGAAGCAATATAGCTTCAGTCAGATATCTTTGAAATTATTTGAAATTATCTTGTTGTTATGAAGAAACTAGTAGGCACTATGATGGCAGTGAACAAACAAATTGTGCATCGCACTGAGCTTGACAGATCCGAGAAAGATCGAGGGTCTAAAGTAATCAAGCACATGAGTAGTACTAAATGATTGAATCAAAAAAGCCGTTTTAATTATGACATTTATGCAAGACTTAACATAAAAATAAACAGGATAGACAAAAGATTACTTATAGCAGATGTGGTAAACAAATCTTCAACCTCAAGCCGAGATGACTTCAGCGAAATTTCCTCAGCATTGTTTTCTGAAAACTCTGATGTCAAACTTTATGCAAAGGTAAGATATTAACAATAATTGCAAGCAAGTATTAAGTGGACGTTCGAGGTGGTTTTCTTATGCTTAGCTCAGGTAGAATATGATGGTATATTGTTGATGATTTTTGTATATCTCAACCATTCACGAACGCTGTATTCTAGATAGCTTCGTAGGCTAGATTGTGAGCTACTTACTCTTGAGTATACAATCACTTGAGTGGGCGGTACTTCTGCACCAGGGGTGTAGATAACCGGCGACATCTCCTTTCAAGCACCAACTCATATATTGTACCATGTACTCAGTCAGCTCTGCTTTCCTTGGTATAAAGGAGCCTCCGAATGTATCAGAGGTTCCTTGCTTATCCACACCGGGCCAGCAATCTTTCTCTCTCTCTCTCTTTCTTTCTCTCTCTCTCGGCTAATCTACGCCCGTGCGAATCGGTCTATATTCGCAACTCGTCTGCTTTTAAAGGCAGCGTCCAGGCATATCTGGATATATGGGGATTTTACGTGGAAAGTAATTTTGGGACCCTAACTGTTCTTTTTGCGCTCCACCCTTTTTGCGGTCCACCTCCTTCTGACGAATTTGCGTCAGCGTAAGCTGTAAGCGTGTGCTGCAGTTGCAGTTGCAACTGCAGGATTTTATGCAGTTGCAGCTGCTCTCGTCCGCTTTCTGAAAAGAGGGTCTTCGGAAATCGGGGTTTTTTGGGGGCTTTAGAGAATTTGAATTTCATGACTGTGATCACGAAGCCCCAAGATGACAAAAAGACATAGGAGGCAAAATTTTGGGTGTACGCTGCCTTTAATCACTTGGTGCCCACCAAATTTATGAACGTACATGATGTATACGTTCGGCCTAGATTCGGCAAGGGTCCAAATGTCAATTGTCAATTCGCGCACTCCGGTCGCAATTAGAAATTTGTCCAGGAATTTCTTATCCAATTGTGTCAATCTCCTCGCTCCAAAATTCAATAACTGCTGTTTCTTTGACAAAGGAAAACAACAAGCAGTCTCGGAGCAGCGTCGGACAACTCGTTACTGCTTTTTGAAAGTTTGCGAGCAAAGTGCGATATCAGTTATCTGTTTCTTTATGTACAGTTGTTACGCCTTGACCGAGATTGTTACAACTCTTTACTAGGCTTACGTTTCGGATGATTCGCCTTCGTCAGAGCCTAAAAAGTGAGCAGTAAATGAGATCTACCCTCCAGTTGTCTCATCGCACAGGAAAAGGGAAAGTTGTGAATATAGACAGCTCAACTTGAACTACCGAGTGAGGGCTGCAGACCACTACTGACACGCGTTAAGTGAATAATGAGCTACGGCCCCCGGGTATGAGGGTGTTGGTCAAAACCCGCATACTCCAGGAACGGCGCGAGTTTATTTGTTATGGTGATGCATTCCTCTTTCTTGTTCATTTTTTGGATTCCTAGCGGTTATGCAGCAGGCCTCTAATGTTTTGCTCGCCGCTGCTTCTGACTCTCGCGACAGGATTGATATAGAAATGTCAAATTCTGCGTTTTGATGGCGCTGCTTACGGTGCGTGCCTAGGGCGTGGATAGTCTTGATCTACGTGGATAGTCTTGATCTACGCGTCCCGTCCAAACGGCTATCAAACGTTTCATACACTTGAGCATCACTTATATCTCGCGCGATTCGGCATTTGGATCCAGATCTGTAGCCATTCGGCGAATTGTCGAATCACAGCCGCCGCGATTTGACGAGCCCTAGGTGCCTACAAGCCCACTGCACATGGACTTCGAAACATAGGCGCACAGTTATGTAAATGTAAACAGTGTCATAACTCGCTTACGCTAAGTGCGCTCACGAACGCAAAAATGCCGAACTGCACTTCTTCCAATATCTCTAGTGTCAACTTACCATCAACCGCTTCCTTTTTGGAAGTTAGGATGGGGTCGTAAACGCAAAATGCCTTATCACAGTAGGACTTTGATTTCGGACTCTCCTCCTTTATGAGGTCCTAGCTTTCAAAAAGCCTGCACCGAGAACTTTCTGTTGTGGTGAGATGTGGTGATGTGATTGTAAAGGCCTAAGGGAGGAACGAGGCGCTGTTGATGTTGACGCGAAGAATGGTGACTAGCTCTGAATGATGACGGGTATTAGGCTCGGCTTTCTCATCAGACGGTCGCAAGCCTTGAGGATCAATGCTTTGCTGATTACCTAAGGATGCGATTGTACTGATTCGGGAGTTTGGGAATAGATCTAGCACAGCGCTTAGTTCGAGCGCTGTGCTGGAACTGTTCCCAAACTTTGGGATCAGTATGGCCCATAGATGCGATAAGGTGAGGCCGCTGTGACCCCCTTCCAGGGTGAAGGGGGTCACAGCGGTCGCAGCCCCTCTGGGTGAAAGATGTTTCACTTGGTAGAAAAATTATAAAATGTCGACCGGGAGGGGGGGGGGGGGGGGGGAGGGGAGGGGGAGGGGGAACTATAGTCCTCTTTCATCATTTTTCCTAGTCAAAATTTATTATTTTCAATTCCTTGCCATCACTGGTTCTCTTTTTTCTAAAATGTGAACCGATGTGCTGCTAAATTAGTACACAATTATGTTTCTGACCAGCACCTTGTATTTTTTTTACATTTCCTTTTCCCTTTATTACATCACTTTGAAATTACCATAGAAGATGTGCATGCGAGAACATTTGTTTGAAAGAGAAACAATTTTTAAGCATTTGCGAATCTTCTAAAAAAAATTCGTAATCTCTGTAAATGAACAGCAACATCAGCAAGGAAGTGTTTTCAAAACCATCTTGTCCTCCCCTTTCAGAAAATATAGCATGTCTGTGATCCATCCAGAAAAGTGCCTTGGTGAAGGGTGTGCTTAATGATTTTTAGAGATTTTCGAGTTTTTAACATAAAAATTCATAACTTTTGTAGATGAACGAGTTGCACGGCGAGATGGTCACCATTGGAACCACCTCGTTTTCCGCTTTCAGAAAATATATACGCTGCCTGAAGTACGACAAAAAGTGCCCGATGAAGGGTGGATGAGACTCTCATAATGGTTCTCAAGTAGACATCTTTTTACAATGGTAAAAAGCCTCCATCTGAGAACTCCCATTATAAGAGTCCCACCTAACCTTCACCGGGCACTTTTTTAACGAACCCTAGTCAGAGTAAATATTTTCTGAAGGTAGAAGACGAGAAGACGGTTCCAATGGTGACCATCTCGGCGTGCAAGTTGTTCACCTACAAAATTCATGAATTTTTTAATGTTAAAAGTTGAAAATCGCCAGAAATCACTAGGCACACTCCTCACCCAGACACTTTTTGGGACGGATGTCAGACAGGCTATATATTTTCTCAAAGCAGAGGACGAGGCGGTCTCGATGGCGACTAGTTCCTTGTACAAGTTGTTCATCTACAAAATTTATGAATTTTTTGATGTTGAAAACTCGTAAGTGTCCAGAAATCACCAGACACCTTCCACTAGGTACTTCTATGAAAGGACTCTAGGCAAACTATTTGTTCCCTGAAACCAGAGGGGAACTTTGTACCACGGAACTTTCCTCGCTGACGTTGCTGTGCAGCTACAGAAGCTACTATTTTTTCCCTCCTCGAAGTTCGTGAATGCCTATAAATCTTCTTACTCCTTTCCGATACACAAACAATTCCCGTACAAATATCTCCTTCCTTTACTTGACCTCAACTCATTGTTGGTTTTTTTCTCGGCTTTTGGTGAAAGGGGTCATCTTGTTCTCGGTTCAGGGTGAAGTGAGGGTGAGCAAATTCTCATATCGCTTTATTATAAACTCAGCCTAAGTTGTGACAAAAAAATATGCATTACCTCGATAATCTGTGGAACAAAAATAGAGATCCAGAAGGTAGACTGAATACATTCAGGTCCCAGCACTGCAAATAATCCCGACTTTCGTACCTTTACCAACTGTAAGTCCTGCGTCCCAAAAACGCTATGATTTCCAAATAAAGTTTCTTCAGAACGTGCTGCCAGTCAGCACTGATGCCCCAAACATGAGGCTCTCACAGAAGTCTGAACACGATCGGTTTACGACGCTCAATTGTAGGTGACTTAGAATTTTTTTCCAGTAAATGTCAGGGATTTTGCAGTATTGCGGCCTGTGGAGTACTCAGCAGATGCGAACACATTGCCCTACATGACTCCCTTGCCTTCCGTTAGTTTTTCCGAGATGTGAAAACTGTCACAACAAATTGCTTAATTAGCAACTTTTTCAGACCTACCCGATGTTGACATGTAGGAATGCAGTTCTTCCCCATCATCCAACAACATATTTTAACTTTTCTTGGAGTTCCATAAAAAAGAACGATAGCCTGAGCGCTTACCATGTTAGTTTGTGCTGTCGAAGTTTGAAGAAGTCAAATTTGTATTGCACCTGAATGCCTAACTCGAACTACAGGACTAATTTTAGAGAGCAATTTTTACGCGTGCAAAGACGCCGTATGTGCCTGCATCGCAGATATTATGCCCAACAACCATCACACCAAAGGTTTGTGCAAGATTTTATATATGTCATTTTCTGCTGTTTGAGAAGTAATGGGCCCTTCTTGTCGCAATGGGCGCTGATATAGGCGAGACAATTGACCAAGCAGAGATTACATTACAAAACAAGCTACGCCAAGAGCGGAAAACGAAAAAGAATGGAATTACGTGAAGTGTCAATACGTAAATTACTTGCGGGAAGCGGAACTAATTCGCCAATAGACGTCACCTCCGCGGATTACTAATTATTGCACATGCTACTAACATCGAGTCATTTGTAACTTAATATGTGTGATTGCACACTAAGCTCTATTAGCGACGGCATCCATATCAGTAACATCCCAGTAAGACATTTTCTAGCCTGAAAAAATAGAAATGTGTTCTACTGACTAACATATAACCAACTAAAACGAAACAGACAAAGAAACAAGAAGAAATCACTGGACATGAGCAGGTTGTAGTTTCGCAGTTCGTCAGTTAGCGTGTATAGTGTGCACTAAGCATATTAAGTTACAAACTCGACGATACATAGAGTCTGAGGACCAATAACGCTTGAAGGCAGTGTCCGGCAGATTTTATTTTTCCATCTTTACGCGTTTTCTTCCCAACATGTAAACCCGAATTTGAAGTTTGAACCAAGTGAAAAGACAGTTTTTGGGGCGATTTCCAAATGCAGCTCGGATGAAAGTTTCATTGGAAAATTGGGAGGTATAGTCGTCCTCCCCCCACTAGACACTCAGTGGACGAATTTGAATTTGAGCAGGAGCAAACAGCTAGCGTCAGAGCGCGGCAGACGCCGCCCCAGTCAGAGTGTGCGCATATGGTGTTTTTTCATTTCTCTCCGTGTTTCTTTGTTATTACTCTTATTGCGGCAATGTATCATATCAGATTCGAGGTTTTGTTACCGGTGATCGCTGTTTCATGCTGTTATTGTCGTTTGCCTTACATTTTTTTCAGGTAAAGCTGGGAATACGATGCAGTTGAAGATGTTTTGATGGAATGTCACTTATCGCCCTTTCCGGTAAAAAAAAAACACATGCATAAGCGTTGCTTTCGTGAACTGTATCAATTTCTCAGTCGAGTGTGCTCCCCAAGCTTTTTTTTCAAAGCTGAATCTTTTCAAGAAGTATAGGTGAGTTTTTTGGATGATGCATCCGACATATTTGTTCTGTACGGCAATACCCGTGCCATATGTGTATCCTTGATTGCACGGTAGCACTTGGTTGTTTGTTTAGCGCTTCCCTTCTCTGTGAGAAAGTGAATTCCTAGCCCCCAGTTGTCACTGCGTCGTGTTTACAGCTTTACCTGGAAAAAATTAGAAGGCACGATAATGACAGCATGAAACAACGACCACCGATAACAAAATCTCGAATCTGTCATGATACATTGCCGCAATACGAGTAACAACAAAGAAACACGAAGAGAAATGGAAAACAGCATATGCGCACACTTTGACCGGGACGGCGTCTGCCGCGCTCTGACGCTAGCCGTTTGCCCCTGCTCAAATTCAAATTCGTCCGGTGAGTGTCTAGTGGGGGGAGGACGACTATACTTGCACGAAGAACTTATGCTTGTAATTTTTGCTATGGATAACATGCACAATGCGGGAACTGTCAGGAGTCCGCCCCGAACAGGTACATAAGCGAAGCCGTCCAAACGCGCGCCGATTGAGATTGCGCGCCAGTTCGACGGCTAATTTCTCGGTTGGGGAGGACATTGATCAGCCGGTGCTTATTAGGATAACCAGAAATGCCACCATAGCTATATTCTCCAGGGCTCGAATCTGCCTACTCTGCCTTTGAGCTGCGCCTAATTGTTCGTCTACCCGATATTCACTGGCATCTTATACCTGTAAGAATCTCTATATTAGGCTGCTGCAAAAATGTCCGACTTTTTGCCTCGTGATTGAAGCAGCTATTCTAGAAAGCTTTCGTACCTCATGGGGTTTTTCATCATCGAAAAACATTTTTCTTGCTCTTCTGAGACATTATATTTCATAAAAACAATAATATAATAATAACATAGTGCTTTATATGGACTCCTCAGTCTCTTCGCTCTCTGCAACAGCTCGCGAATGCTGCTCAAACCCCTAGCGCTCCGTGCGCGTAAATTCAGCCGACGGTTTGGTCCGATCCCGATTAGAGCAGTCTCTAGGGTAACAGTTGCCGCCGTTTGAGGAAGTTAAGCATGCTTTTCCTTCACATAAGTTTGTCATAGTTTTGTAGCTCGTTTTCATTCCCCAATACGCATATAGACACCAAGTTTGAAACCATGCCGTTAGCTGTGCGAACGAGGCATTTTTTCAATTCAAGATCGTGAGAGTTTCCAGTAGAAAGCATGCCACACCCCTCAAACACATAACTTCTTCTAGCTTCTTCGCAAATTTCCGAAGGTAGTTTCTAGTTGTTACTCGCTTAAAGGGCAAAAAGTCGATTTTGAGATTTTGCACTTACCCGGGCCTATCCACTATGCCGACCGGAAATTCACACCGAGAGCATGAAAACGGCGAAAAGGGGCTTTAACGAATGAGGTGAATCAACAGGCGACACTGTCAATTCACGCTACCAGCTTCCGAAGCGATCTTCTTGCTTCCGTTAGCTGCCCTGACATCTCGGTCAAATGCGAACGCATAAACTCAAAATCGGAACTGAGAAGTCGCTCCGGAAGCTGGGAGTGTAGATTTAGAGTGAGGAAGACTCCGCCCACCTGCTGATTTCCCTCCTATGCTAGAGCCTTTTTTCGCTGTTTTCGCGCTCTCCAGTGTGAATTTTCGGACTCAGCATAGCGAATAGGTCACAGAGTCTAAGCACAGATTGTCAAAATCGACTTTTTGCCTGGACATTGGCTTTAAATACCGAATTTAGTGTCAAATGTTGTAAACAAATAAATTGTTCACCACTCACTGCAGAAAAACCAGATTTTCAAATTTGAACACGTCAACGTGTTAAAGGCAGTGTCCGGGCAAAAAGTCGATTTTGAGATTTTGTGCTTACCTGGGCCTATCGGCTATGCTAAATCCGAAAATCCACACTGGAAAGTGCGAAAACGGCGAAAAAGGGCTCTAACGCAGGAGTGTAATCAAAAGGCGAGGTTTTCCCCCACGGTAAATTCACGGTCCCAGTTTCCGGAGCGATTTTTTCAATTCCGCTAACCGCCCTGACATCTCCACGGACCAAATGCGAACGCATGATTTGAAATCGGAATTGAAAAGATCGCCCCGGAAGCTGGGACTGCGATTTCACAGTAGGGAAGACCCCGCCCACTTTTGATTTCACTAATGCGTTAAAGCACTTTTTCGCCGTTTTCGCGCTTTCCAGTGTAGATTTTCGGATTCAGCCTCGCGAGTACACCCGGGTAAGCACAAAATCTCAAAATCGACTTTTTGCCCGGAACTGCTTGAGGATGTTGAGTTTTGGCAACCTATAACAGTAGGGCCTCCTATTAAGCCAATGCCCAAGTCGCGGCACAATATATCGCTTCGGAAGCGAGAAAATCGCTTCGGAATAGCGAAGATGCGCGAGGACCCCCATCCATGCCCGCCCCTCCCCATCCATGCCCGCCCATTTGTGCGCGTCCATCCAATCACCGTTCTGAAAAGCCGGCCTGTGGGTTCTCCGGAATGGGGTTTGTCGGGGTTTCGTGGCTTCTCGACTCCATATTTGGAATCAGGAACAAGAGAATGCCCTAAAACGACAAAAACCTGGAAGTCGAGAATCTGGGTGGACAGTGCCTTTAAGGCTTGTTCGCCATGGGGGTGTTCAGAGGATAGCTACGTGAAAAGTTCCAGTGTATATACAAGTACTATATCGTGCGATACCTCTTTGCTTTAGCTTGACGTTCGCCACCTTCTTGCAGGCCCCTGGATTAACCTACTGCCTTGTAATAAGGTTTGCTAATGAGCCCAAAGGCCGGTTTTTAACTCAAAAGTTATGTGGTGTCCACGAAAGCAAGAATCTGAGAAGCTGTACATAAGTCGAAACCTCTCAGAGTCGGAAACTGAAAAAGATAACGATATGCTAACATTACTGCACGAAACGTACCGATGAAGCCTAAAGGCCTTGGACAGAGTTCACGATTTCATCGCCTCGCGATTCTCCCGATAGGTCCCGGGCAGACTTCACGCGATTTGATCGTCGCGACTGAATCGCGACGAGGCAACTGTTACAACATCATTCCATGCTGATCAACTTGCATTCGGTTGTGATACTTTTCCAGCCCGAAATTTTTGAATGTGAAATGAAAATGAATGGAAATCTTGGCGATTCGATCGCGACGATTAAGTCGCGTGAAAGTCTGGCCGGGGCCATAAGAAACAATTACGAATCCATTTCATATTACCAATCATCTTGCATCTCGGTTGTTAGTCACGATTAATCGTGTCGGAAAACTATTACAACCGAAATGCACGATGAATGCAATGGATTCGTAACTGTTGTCTTGTGGGAGAATCGCAAGGCGATGAAAACGCGTGAACTCTCCCGAGTCCTAAGCCAGCAGAGTCTTTGTCGACTGCCTTCTGCAAAGCTTCTTTTTCTAAATTCTCTGAGTTTAAACGGTTTGGGCTCAAAATGAGACTAGAATCCTGCTGTAAATCGACTATTTCATGTTGGTCGAATGTTCACCATTCTCTTCATTTCAGCTGCCAAATTTTTGATTGTCACAAAATCTTATTAGGTTGGCTAAAAAATAAATTCGGTCGTTTTTAGCGGTTTGTAGAATTGTCACAAATCAGTTTTTGTGTGTATATATGGTACCACTGGAGAGAGCAAATCAAGGAGAATCGGATGGTTGATTCTGTTTTCTCAAAAACAATTTTTCTGACAATGAAATGGTAGGGAAAGAAAATTACTCAGATTTTTTCCCCAAAAATTCGAAAAATCACGTTCCGAAAAACGAACTGAAGTCAGGTGTAAAGTGTAGATTCGCTAAACATACAACATATTTTTGAATTTCCAACTATCTGCATGGCCATAGATGGCCAAATTCGAGTTATCTGGAATGCCCAAAATTTGACGTTCACGCGCAAATGCCTGGAAATTTTTACAATTTTGACTGCAGAAATTCAGAAACAGCAGATCGCAATCTCTATTGTAGTTCGCCACTTAGCCAGAGGCTGTATGTATCCAGCCACCAATTTACTCGCTTTTGTACTAACTGCAGGCTGAGAACGAAAGTTAGAAATTTAAAAAAGCGATTTTTTAGAAGCCTGACCATATATGGTTATAACCAGGGTCAAGCAAGGGGTATGGCACACGATCGCTGGTTACGACCCCTCCCTCTGATTGCTGTCTTAATAAGACCCCCCCCCCCCTGAACTATACACTTAAGATAGCAATACTTGAAGGCCCTGTCAAACATAATGGGCAACATATCCATAATTAGCACGTCAAATAACCCCTGTAGACAAAGTGTGAGCGAATTCTGAAAATTCAAGATACTAGGCTACCTAAGTGAAATGGTCAAATTCCAACATGGTTAACTTTGTTTTAAAGGTGAATTAGCTATCCGTTTTTGCACTCAAGACAAAGCACTACTCTTTTTTTGTCCACCTCAGGAATCCCGCTTTAGAAGACCTCCAAACTGTGGAATCAGAAGCCAACCAAAATCTCGTTTTTCCCACTTTTCGCTTTTGATCGCTGTGCTTTCACCAAATATTACTCAGAGCTAAGAAGACGAATCAGGCTCCAAACAGTCCTATGGAATCTACAAAGTTTAGGCTATCGATTTATATAAGTACTGTCCGCTAAAAATGTTTTTTGATATAGTTAATGGGGTGCGGCGCACCCCCTTAGGCAGTGTCCGGGCAAGATGGGGGTTTTGAGATTTCTCTGCCATGTGAGACTGGCCCCCCTGAGACACAACATCGCGCATCGATGTTGTGTCTCAGGGGGGGGGGGCCAGTCTCACATGGCAGAGAAATCTCAAAACCCCCATCTTGCCCGGACACTGCCTTTAAAAGCTGCGGCCGCCGCAGATTTTGAGGGGGTGCGCCGCACCCCATTAACTATATCAAAAAAACATTTTTAGCGGACAGTACTTATATGAATCGATAGTCTAAACTTTGTAGATTCCATAGGACTGTTTGGAGCCTGATTCGTCTTCTTAGCTCTGAGTAATATTTGGTGAAAGCACAGCGATCAAAAGCGAAAAGTGGGAAAAACGAGATTTTGGTTGGCTTCTGATTCCACAGTTTGGAGGTCTTCTAAAGCGGGATTCCTGAGGTGGACAAAAAAAGAGTAGTGCTTTGTCTTGAGTGCAAAAACGGATAGCTAATTCACCTTTAAAACAAAGTTAACCATGTTGTTTGACCATTTCACTTAGGTAGCCTAGTATCTTGATTTTTCAGAATTCGCTCACACTTTGTCTACAAGGGTTATTTGACATGCTAATTATGGATAGGATACGAATATCATGTTATCACTATTATCAGATTACCCAACTACGACCCCCTCCCCTTTTGACTCCTCAATACGACCCCCAGGTGTGGCGTGCCGCACCCCACGCTTGACCCTGGTTATAACTGTCATTTTTGGTAACAGAAAACCTTGAATATTTGCTGTTTAAGAGTAGAGGCTTGAGGCTATCTTCTCAATAAAAAATCTTAGCTGAATAGCTGTTACATGAATTGTTATGAAGTTTTGAATTTGCATATCAAAACGAACTTATTTATTAGCCAACCCAATAGTTCATTTTAGTTGGCTCCCATCTACTGTCCAACAATGTCTGTCAGCAAAGCTCAGCTTCTCAACAATCAACATTTGGAACCAGTTGACGATAAGGTAAGATTTTCTTCCCCTCAATTCTCTTTCTTCTCTTTCTCTTTCCAGCAGCAGTATCTTTTCCTTAAATAAAGCTCAACGGTTTTTGGAGCTAGCTAGCGACTCTCCGCATTCTGGCATCAAACTCAAAATCAAGAATTGAAACCGTTAGAAAGGTTCCTGCTGGTTAGCTTACAAAAAATAAAACGCAAAGATCTATCCTAGGGCGGTGTTTACCAATCTCTCACTCGCTGTTCGGGCCATTATCAAAAATGCTTCATACTGATCCGCAAGTTCGGTAACAATCCAGCACAGCGTTCAGTTCAAATGCTGTGTTGGAACTGTTCTCGAAGTTCCGGACCAGTATGAACGCAGCCTAAGGAGTGCACGGACAGGCGAGAGCGCCAATCCCGTGATTTATCAAAATTTAAAACATGGTCCGATCTGGAAAGTTTGGCCATGTCGGACACGGCAGTCGGGCAGCAGAGCTCAATCTCCACAGGTCGGGCTCCACTGCCCGTCTGTCGTGCCCAACATGGCCAAACTTGCCAGATCGGACTATTCTCCGATAGGTAGGAGCCCGATCACCAGCTTAGCTTCATATATCGCGGGCGCCAATACCCGCGCTTGTATGGGTTGTTACCTGTACAGAAACAGGGCCCGGCGCGAGGTGGGCAAATGACAAGCTGGAAATCGTTTTTGGTGGAAAAAGCAAGGGGGAAATCGTTTTTGCAGGGTTCAAGGCGGAGCCTCGGAAGAAGATTCCAAGTGCAAGCAAAAGAAGGTCTAATCATGCTTGTTACCTCATACATCTGATTCACTGAGAAGTAGTTTTCATAAGCCTCAACGCACAGCAGAGTTCGCGCGCGCTAGGCCGCGCCCCTGCTAATTGCCGCTGCGCGACGTCGCATAAGCGATGCCGTTGAACAGCATAATTACATGATCAATTCTCAATGCAGGTGTAACGGTATAGCACCAAATTACTTAAGCGAACGAAGAGAGGCTAGTAGATACAAAGTATGAAATATTATGAAAAACTTATGTGAATGGGAGGAGTAATAAGCATTTTTTCCAAAAATTTTGCAAAACTGTTAAATGAAGATGTGAATTCAAATGGCTCGTTTGCAGCGCACAGATGACCATACGTTATGGAACTTGGTAGATACATGAACACATGCCTGCAAGGCTTTACTTAGAAGTTTCACTGAAAAATTATGTGACTGAAGGTTGGGGCAAGCTTTTTTCTGAAAATTTCCCCCTATCAAGGATGGAAAAATGGCTCGTTCGTAGAGCAGAGAAAACGAAATCGCGCGAGATTTGGTGTGTATACGCGCAGTAGGACTAAGGAACAATATATGAAAAATTATGAAAAACTTGAATGAAGAATGTGAAAAATGAAAAAAATGTGAATGAAGAGCGTGCCCAACTTTTTTCCAAATCAGGTGGGCAATTGCACACCTAATGCCCACCTAATGCCCACCTGAGGTGGGCAAAACTTTCACGTCACATAATTTTTTTCAAAATTTTTACATAAATATGTTGTACACCTAAAATTTACTATCAGGTGTTGTTCCATAAGTTCCGTCCATCGCAATAAGTTGTGAACTCTTGGTTCTAGACAGGTTTTAAGGTACCGTTCGATAAAGCAAAGCAAGCTCTACAAGATGACTTTCTTACTTTCGCAACAGTTCAAATCCATCTCGAGTTTGAATCCAAAAACCAAAAAGATCGATCCGCCCGAAAAACAAAGAAAAAATCGTAACTCCGTTCAGAAGAAACCCTAAATTCCTAACTTGCTCACAGATACGCTATCCACATAAGACATTTATATATACTGTTGCCAGTGGCGTACCCAGGATTTCAGCTCGGGCGGGGGGGGCGCGACAAAAATTTTTTTCTAAAGAAGGTGCGTGGCGTTAGCCACGCACTCCGAAAAAATTTTGGGGTTGCTTCCTAAAATTTTTTCGGGTGTCAGACCCCTAAAATCTGGAAAAAGGGGGCGTGGCTGACGCCACGCCCCCGAAAAAAATTTTTTTACAAGCCTAATTTGAATTTTTAAAAATTTTTAAAAATTATTTTAATTATTTACAAAAATAAACAAGTCACTTACACATTTTTATAACCCATATAAGTAACTTTCAAAAATTTCGCGACCCATTCTCGGGGGGGGGGCGCGCCCCCCCCCCCCGCCCCCCCCCCCTCGGTACGCCACTGGCTGTTGCTGTTCTTCCTTGAATAAAAATCAAGAAAACGAAAATTTTCACGTTTTTGCCAAAGTCATGCTGTGCTGTCCACACAAGATAGTTGTATACTACGGACCAGTACGAGTACAGAAACGAACACCCGACTGTGCGACGCCAAATTCAATGTTTCTCGAGAACTAAAACTTGTAGAGCGCTGAAAATTCATGTCTGTACTCGTAGTGATCCGTAGTATACAACTACCTATGTGTGGGCAGCACAGCATGACTTTGGCAAAAATATGAAAATTTTCGTTTTCTTGATTTCTATCCAAGGAAAAAATACAGCAACAGTATACATAAATGTACGATGTGGACAGCGTATCTCTGAGCAAGTTAGGGATTTTCCAAGAAATTTTTTAAACCGAGTTACGACTTTTTCTTTATTTTTCGGGCGATTGATTCTTTTTGGTTTTTGGATTCAAACTCGAGATGGATTTGAACTGTTGCGAAAGTAAGAAAGTCATCTTGTAGAGCTTGCTTGACTCTATCGAATGGTACCTTGAAATCTGTCTAGAACCAAGAAGTTCATGACTTATTGCGATTGAAACTTTAAACGGACGGAACATATGGGACAACCTGATACACGGTTTCCTGAAACCTGAAATTTTGGTTCCGGAACTCCTCCTCTTGTCTTTGTTAGAGCCCAAAATTGCATCAGCAGCCTAGCTTTCTAACAAGGGAAGGATACTTGATCGCAGTGACGATTGAGGAAACGGTGTATACCTTGTATACCGTCCCCAGACGGTGATCTCTAAGGCCCGTATGCACTAACATTTTTGCGGCGAGGGGAGCGGCGTCCTCCGTTATGAAGGGACCGCGTGCGGACGCCGCTGCGGCTTTTTCATCATTGGGGACGCCGCTCCCCTCGCCGCAGGGATGTTAGTGCATGCGGCCCTAAGGCCCGTATGCACGCACATCCCCGCGGGGAGGGGAGGGGATCTGAGAGGGGAAGCGACATATCTCGCTAGTCTACATATCTTTCTCCTTCTTTCTCTATCTTGCTTTTGAAGGTTCTCATACACTGATACCTGCGCATAAAAGATGCCAGGTTACTACCATGCAAGATTAGATATTCACAATTTCGTCTGATCCCCTGGGGATCCCCTCACATTTTCAAATGTCATTTATCTTCCTGAAAACTCAATGAAAATTCTCTAAAATTATACTGAGGATATACTACAGCGCTGCTAAGTCTGTCTTATTCACGGGTTGTCTGCTCTCTCTCCAATCTCTTCGCTCTCTGCGACCGTGACATGCAGCACAAACCCTAACGATGCGAGCGGCCTGATCCCGAATGGGACAGACTGTGCGTATGGCCACTGTCCTCTTCCTATAATTCACTATCCAGTCAAGTTGTGA